GGCACAGGACAAGATGGCACCTCCGCAACTTGTTCAGCTGAGCGGCGTCTGCCTGTCCTGACCATCCTGGGAGTCCTTGCATGAATTTGAGGGCTCAAGGATGTGTGATGTGTGGACGGTCACTGCTCTACCGGTGTCGGCAAGATGCTGGAGTTCAAACCCACTTCGGCAACATCGGAAGCTGACTCCGTCTCACTCTTGGAGTCCTAGCCTCTGAGGATCACGGACTGTCTGACGTTCTATGTCGAGCATTACTGAGAAGCCTGCAGTAACAGAATTTCATCCTCCTGAAACAAAGGTCTTGTGCAATTACTAGTAGCTACTGCCCCACTACTCCGAATTGGCAGTCTGCGCTCCTTCAGAGAGCCTTGTCGGCTCACCGCCGGGCTCCTCCTGGGCCTTAGGGATTCAGGTTGTTCAGGTGTGTCTCTCTGTTCTGTGGCGCCTTCCGTATTAAGTTCAGAAGGTGGAGTGAGAAATTAAACAAACAGGAGTGCATGTCACAAATCTATGTGGAAGGCAATGCTCAGGGATTCGCAATTGGCAAAGCTGGTGTCCAGTCTCACCCGGCGTGCAGTATGGTGCAGTCAAGGGGCGTGAATTCCAGTCCCCCGGAAGTGGAGAGGCTTGGCAACTTCACCTTCCGAATCTCCAAGGGATATTTACAAGGCTGGCAGATCCGCCCTGATCGCTCTTGCAAAGCTCTTGCAAACTCCAAGAATCGGGGACTGCTCCCCTCTGGTGAACTTCCAAAGCCACCCGCACCAAGCTTGGCAAAAAACGAAGAAGACATCCCATCAAACTGATTTGTTTGCTGGCTTGCTATATTGAACTATCTGCCTGTTTCTCATTCTCTCACTCTCTCGCTGTCGCATTCGCACCCGCTCTCGCTCTCACTCTTCATCTTTCTTCTTATGCGTCTTCTTCCTCTTCTTTGGTTCTTCTTCTGCTCGTCGTCCTCGGCTGTGGGATTGTCCCCCTTGTCTCATGCTGGCGCGCTGCGTCGCGTGCAGGGTGTGGCGTCTCCCTCATCACGCATGGGCCCTATTTAGGTGCCTCATCATGTGTTGTACCGCTCGTAGTGCTTGGGTCGACAGGTTTTGTTTGCCTGCATAGATCTATCTTCTCCCGCAGCCTTGTGAGGGCGTCCTCCTCGGCTTGCTCGTCCTCGTACATCGTACTGATCCGTACTGATCCGTACTGATCCATCTCCTCTGCTTCCCCCCACCCGGTGGCATGTGGCTCGGAGCAGACTGCGCTGACCGGTCTGTGGAGGCCTGTTCCAGAAATAGCAAAGTGAGAGGGCCGCTGACACCAGCACCTCGAAGCAGAGGACCCGCCAAGCACTGAGGGGGGGGGGGGAGAGGCAACACCCGGCGGCCTTCACGGGGGCCACCACTACCCCGGAACCAGCGAGCTACCCCTATGGCAGTTGCCACTACCCTTCCCGCTCCCTCCCTTCCTCCCTATTTTCTTCCTCTTCTTCTACTTCTGCTTCTTCTTCTTCTTCTTTTGCAGGGCTTGGGGGGCCACAGAGACCCTGCGCGCCCAAGCGCGCCCAGCTCTCTCTCTCTCTCTCTCTCTCTGTTTCTTGCTTTCTTTGGGGCATGGGGTTGACGCGCCAAGGGGCACCCCGGACCGTGACTCGCAGCGCGTCCCGGTATTGGGGTAGTCGGGTATTCCAGGAAACTCGAGGAGAGAGTTGTCCTTGCTCCCGAGTGCTCACCCCTAGTCATGTGCTGCTCCACCCCTCCCCCAGAGTACCTCAGTTAGGCTGGCAGTGATGCAAAAAACGTACACTTCTATCTGATTACAGCGAAAAGTTGGCTGGCCCCACCCTCGAAGTAAGACCTTACCCGTTCACGATGCTTTCGCAACTTCATTCAGTTAAGCCTTGGATATTCCGCGAGCCCCATTCGGGGGCAAGATGCACGGGTTAATACATGGTCTCTCTCTCTCTCTCTCTCTCTCTCTCACTCTCACTTTTTACTGCACCTATACACGCACATAAATATATATATATATATATATATATATATTTATATTTATATTTATACATATGTATATATATATATATATGTACATATATATATATATATTTTATATTCATATGTATATATATATATATTATAATATCTCTCTCTTTTTATTGATCATAAATAGGTACCTGCAACAGCACGGTTCCGAAAGTATGTCGGACGGATGCGCTTAGTTTCAATCGTGGTCAGCCAAGCTGCTGGGCAGGTTAGCTTCAACCGCGGACCTGAGCACCCAGAGATTGTTTTTTTGTGGGCTCGATACTATGCGTAAAGCTCAAAACAAGCCAAATCAGGTGCACATGGTATGCGGAAGTGGAAGTGACACCAGGTGACGAGCTTTCGAATCTACCCGGATCGATGCCAGTTTCCAAGGGCATGCGGAGCGTTGTCGGGTTGATCCCTGATCCCCGAAACGGTGTTGTTCTGTCCGGCGGTGGAAGCTGAAACCTCCAAAGCCCCTTGGAGCCAGCAACGACCCCCAACAGAAATCCAACGTGCAGCAGCACAGCACTTTCCTCCCAAGGCGCTGCGGCGACTCGTGTCGAGCCTGGGATTGACATTCTCGAACTCAACAGATGACTTCGCAGAAGGGTCTGGGATGGTAAGGAGATTTTCTAGCCCGTGCTTCAATATTGGGACCAGTCGCATTGGCGTGGTGAGGACCCGGGGTGGATCTTTGGTCGGAGTCGGGGTGATGATAAATCGAAAGCGCATAGATTCGGATTTGCCTGGATTGGGAATCTGTCCTGGAGTCCTGCATGTAAGACTGTATCATATCATATGTTCTGAAAGCCTGAGCCGCATGGCCCTTGGCTTTCTGTGTCTCCCCTAGGCGTGGTTATTTGTGCAGCCGACCGTTTCTGAATGTTGCGACGGCGGCCGAAAACAATGCCTGAACCTGTTCCAAGTCGGCTTCAATAGACTATAGTTACCTGTATAATCATGTTTGTATATACATACATATATATATATATATGGTCACCCCCCTATATATACATAGTATTGCTGAACATCTCTAAACTCTTCTCAAGTTCAGTGGGGGCAACGTGGAAGAGCGCAGCGAGGAGTGACGGCTCGGACTGCTGCTGGTCTGCGTCTGGGACGTGCCTTGTCAGGTGGGGTCTCAACATGCCAAGTGACAGTCCACTACAGTCCACTCCAACCCGACTCCAAATGGGTAGGTTTAGGCGAGCGCAGTGGACCAAGCCAAAACGTCACCCAAACTGGATCTGGCGTATTGCGCACACCCTTCTTCAAATCACCATGATACTCCTTGCATGCCTAATCCCAGAAGCCGAAAGTTGCCCACCCCAAATGTAAAAGAATCTCTGCATCAACCTATAGGAGCATCAGCACATGCTCTTGGCATATTCTTGCAGTTATGTTGCCTACACCCTACACCATACCTTGTTGGTTCTTGTACTGCAGAGTCACCCAACATGGTTCTCGCAAACATTGAGGCCGGCAGTATGTTGAAATATGCGATGGGGATGCATCTATTCAGGCAGTACCGCACGAGCAAAGAGTCTTAGGAATGGAATTATAATGGAATGGGGGGTGGTTTAGGTGGTCGGATTCTGGACACTCTGAAATTGCTTGCAGCCCGCCTGGCCGGTCCTTGCTTTTTGGCCGGTCTTTGCTTTTCGACGGGCTCGTGCTGTGTGCCTTCACCGGAACCTCTGCGCAAATCTTGGAAGGAGGCTTGCCGGTGCCGTTTCGGACTGCAGAACGCCAAGAGACTGTTGCAGGAAGAGGATGTCCCAAGTTGAGCTCTGCTACTTGTAGCTAGTGGCTCTTTGCTCCGAATAGCAAAAATCTCGTTGACTACAAGCAGTACAACGCTTTGGCATAACGCAAGGGGACATTGGTCTTTGCTGTCGTGCTGCTATCAGTCTTCGCATCCAAACCCAGCACAACAAGCAACACATTCATGCAAGAAAGACTGCCAATCAGCCTTACCTTTGCCTTGCAAAAAGGTGACTATTGATCTTGCGCAACTTCCCATCATGATATCCTTGAAAGCAGGCTGCCATGCTTCCCAAGCCAAGCCAAGAGGCCGCATTCACGGATGAAAGCCCTGGCAGATGAAGCGCAGCATCACTCACGGCGGAGGTTCGTGCCATCCACGTGCCGCTGATCTGTGTCAGGGCCCAGGTTTCTAGTGTCAAGAAACGGCAAGTATGAGGTGCTTCAGGTCTGCCTTCGTTGGCAACAATGCCTCGACTGTCGCATGTCATGAATCTGAAACTACTCAACTGCTGGCTGCATATTCCTCTAGACTTCAGCATGTGCTGGAAAAGCATTGCTGCTCTGGCTGCTCCGCAGCACTGGCAGTTCTCGGGTGGAAGAAATGGCCGCGGATTTCAATCCAAATGCAGAGCCTTATCAGAGCCTTACAGCCTTGAGCTGGCAGCTGGCACTCCCACCATCCACACTTGGACTCTCGAAAGTAGCTCGAAAAGAGGCGCTGTGAACACTAATAGCCGTACCTAGCACGTGAGTCTAGCAGAACCGGCCACCCTTCGCTCAGGGCGTCGCGGATGTTTGCGGGACGTGTGTCTAGGTATTTTTTAAAGCCGGCGGCAGTTTCGGGAATCTTCCGCAGCTGGAATGGCTTGGGTTCACGTTACAATAGAAAGACGTCTGAGTGATGCCACTTCCCAACCACGGCCCCAGACAGCCTCCCTCCCCTTTGTGGGTTGGACTGTGATAAGAAAGGGGTGGCAGGGCACTCGTGGCTGGGTCCAATTCTTGACAAGATCTTCATAGATCTTGCGGATAATGTGGCACGAATTTGGGCTGCTTTTTGTCATGTTAAAGATCAACGTAGCACGATGTCTTTGAAGCAACTGTCAGGGACAGGATTTGCCGTCTTGCGCGTCGAAGCTCTAAGGGATGTACTGCAACTGCTTGGGAACTACTTCCTGCAACTGTGCATCGTCCATTCTCTGAGGTTGGGACGGGAGGGAAGCATAGAACCTTTGGATTCGAGAAAGCGATGCAAGCTTTGCTACTGCATGTTGACCAAAGAACCCGCCACATATGGTGGAACAGTTTTATCGTCACTCAACCGGTGGATAGATGCCAGAGAGGTAGGGCTGATTGCCATTATGCCCAGCTTTGTCTTTGAATGTTGTGGGAGACCCGGAAAAAACCTTGGAAAAAAATGGCTGGCTCACCATGCTTGTGATCAGTGGACGTCGTGCGGTGCGCAGAAGATCTTGAAACTGGTGCATGGGGTTAGTAACTAATGGAGGCGCGATGAATTGCGGGTGATGCCTGCTGCAACTGCCCCGACACTCCACTCTAAACCTGGGCGAGATCACGCTTCAACCTTCAAGTATCTCGTAAGATATCGTAAGTACTGTACATGCTGTAACTGAGACTGCGACTTCCTGTTGCGTTGTTGCATGTGCTGCAACTCTGGGGCAACCTGGAGGCAGGAATCGTATGCCTTGAATCTGAAGCCTTGAACTCACCCCTACATTCCAGGCGGCTAAAGAAGCACGTATTTCGTGAACCCGTGACTGCCGCGAGACTTTAGCATCTGAACCTCGTTGTGAACATGTCACCAAGGATGTGAGTTTTTCGGTGTTCTGCTCTGGCATTTTGTGCCTACTTCGGTTCGGTGCAAACTTCGCGTAAGCCCACTGCTGCCCTCCCCACCTCCACCGCTGCCCCCGTCGAGAGCTGCAAGAACCCGGTGCCTTCTCCGCCTGAACGGGGGATGCCCGGGCAGGTTGTGGAACTCACCAAGCCTTAGAGCTTAAGGTAGACGTCTAATAAAGACACTCAGAGTATGAGGCCAAAACCAACAAACATGGCCCGGCCTGAGATTCTCACTTGCACAGTTGCACAAGGCAGGCAAAGCTCACTGTCCGAACGGTCGCAACAACAACCACTGCAGGCAAACAGGCAAACAGGCTGTCTAGCGCCCTGCTCATACAACCCGAAGAAGATCCAGCTTACATAGGCTCATGCTTGCTCCTTGCCTGGCAACCACGCGGAAGCCGCCAAGCCTTCCTCGCCTTTTGGTTTCGGCCGATATGGAAAGGAATTCAATCCAGCAGGCTCATCTCAAAGGGTTTCCCCAAAGCCAGAGTGGACATTCCTTTGCCCCAGCCGACATACAAAGTTGAGATTCTCATTGGCTGCATTTGAACCTTCCTTGTGAGGACGAGAGTGTTCTGCTGCTGGGCCAGAGTCAAGCTTCAGTACCGTCAGTACCAGTTTACTTGTGACAGTGTCAACAAGTGTCAAACGAATGCGGTCCCGAGTGTTGGGTAGAAAGGCTCTGCGACCAATCCCCTACACTACTTACATGGATCCTAGTCTACCGGAGCCGTACTGTCTAATAAGCATCCCGAGGGCAACACCATCACAGACCATCACTAAACATATACCTGTCACCCGAACCTGACTCTCCCATCCCTGCCGTGTTTAGAACTTTCAAGCAGCTTGGGAGACGGCCCACTGCGCACCAAACCTGGCAGGCACGTGCCGCTTTTTCCCATTTCCCATTATTGAGCTTGGAAGGGCCCGAGCGAGTGCTTGTTGCTAGCTGGATGTTCAGGGGGCGCAGCAGAGGGCTTTGAGCTAGCTTCAAGCCGCTTGGATTGCAAATTTCCCCTTGCAACAGGAAGAACTATGCGCTCAAGATTTCGTCGGGATCCACAGCTGCACATTGCAAATGCCTGCCCCTGTTAACCCTGGGCAAGTCTGCAAATCCTGATCTTAGATTTTTTTGAGAATTGAGTGAAAAAACTCATCGGAGCGAAGGAAAGTGACGATACAGTGACAGAATGAGACAACGTGAGATTAAAATACAAAAACCTGAGAAAAATGAGAAATGAGCTACCTTCACACTTTCCTCCCTCTTTCCACTCATTTTCCTATCCCTTTCCTTCCACATCCTCTCATCTAATTCTCATGTCCGGCGTCTTTTGCTCTCTGATTCTTCTTACTTCTCACATTTAGCGTTTCTGGGATTCCTCAGTGTTAACAGGGACCGGATGTCCTAAAAATGATGCCTTCAGTTCCATGAAACTCTTTTTTGGACCCGAGACCCACAAGCTGAGCTCCACCCGATTCAGCCAGGCTTCCGTTCTTCCGTTCACTCCCGCAAGCCGCTTTTACATGCTTACTTTCCCAACTCTCATCTCAAGCTCTTTGTATTGAAATCCCGGAGCTCCCGAGAGACGCACCTGGACGGCGCGACTGGCAGGGCTACGCTCCGCCCAAAGCCTGCGAAAGGGACGTCAAGGGACGACCCTAGTCTTGTGCCAGCTGGAAGTTGGAAGGTTTGCGATCCAGGGCTGGTCGTCGGAGTTTTTGGGTCCACAGGGGTCGAGATCTAGCTTCTGACCATATGTTCCGCAACAATCAAACCATCTTTCGGTCAAGGTCGCTCAATATGCCAGTCTCACATGGCAGTCACAGCAACCGCCCCGACAACATAAGAAGGACATCATCACAAGCAGGGAAATGCGCTGGCCATGGCCCTGGCCCTGACAGAGGGGCTGTTTTCGTTCCATGGCTTCGGAAACCCCAAAAATCGCCATAAGGGATGCTGGTCGTGAGCAGAGCTGAGCAAATGCCGGACCTTTTCTCCTTCGGTGTGCAAAGACAAGCCCTGGGCAGTTTCCTAGCCTCGCTGATTGATCGACCAATAGAGCGCAACATCTTGAGCGATTGGAATGGCACTTGACTAAGTTTGGTGCAGGGGAATTATAATGATTCAGCCTCCCATAAATATCAGGCCCGGCGCTGGTCCAGCACAGGTGCTCTCTTACGAGTCATGTTCCAAGGCTTGAACTAACACAGCCCCAACCTTTTGTACGGTTGGGGCATCCGGATGCTTGCGAAGTGCGGTGCGCACAACTTTGGCGCAGCCAGCCGACGCAAGCTCATTCCTTAGGCTCAGCTTAGTGGTGCCAGCATGTGCCAGCGCTGCTATTGTCTGCACCGTTCTAGTTGCAGACTCCCGGATGGACTTCTAAATCAAGGAGCGGAATGCCCAAGCCCGGCCTAAACCTCCTTTGAACGCGTCCCTCACCCCGCCCCCACTTTTCCTTTGCCAAGTCAACCTCATTGTTTAAAGCCGGCTGTGGGCTCTCGCTCGATTTCTCTCTGTCTCTCTCTACCCCTCTCTCTCCCTCCCTCCTTCCTTCCCCCCCTCCGTCCCAGCCCCCCCCCCCCCCCCGTCGCTCTCACACATATCATCTGTCATTATTAACATGGCGTTATGCAAACACTCGAACACGCGCTACGCAGCTCTCGCAAACATCGCTCTCGTGTGACCCTGTGCGGGTGCTGCGATCGGCTGGAACTTACAAGTCCAGGTGCTTAGGTGATCTTAGGTGCTACTGTTCTCCTGCAAGTATCGACACCGAAGCCGCGAAGCCCATCTAAGACTCTACTCGACTTTCCGAAGCCAGGCTGCATGTTCGCATGGACCCTGGCTAGGTTGAAAAGGGCGCCAATGCAATAGTCCTGGACCAGCCGCCTCAGATGCTAAGACCCCAATTGGCGCTCGAACGCTTCTGGAATCTGAATACAGCTTCACCCCAATACCTCAAGGCCAATGGTGTCCTGCTTCTTGATCATCTTTCCCGTACTCTTTCCCAAGCTCAGCGGCTCATCCTCGTGAGCTGCCATACCTGGAATTTTCAAGAATGTGCGAGCTTGACCCTGATAATCCACGGAGGTTGTCCTTGCACAACGGTCAACTATGTAAGGGGCCAGGGGCATACAGAAAAGCAGACTAGGACGTGAACGAAGAGTCCAGGCTCTTATAGTGCCCTGCAGGAACAATGTGAGTCTACGCCCATCCTTGGTTGCTAACATGGGATCCCCTCCTTGCCGCTTGTCAACACTGGGAACTGACTGAACCTGAGCCCCCAGGTGCCAGCGACTAAATCCGGGCCACGCTGCCTTGCACCACGGCGCCTGCGGCACCGGCACTGGCCACCCGAATCCTCAGATTGTTGTGGGGCTGTAGTGACTGTAGTGGGGCTGTCGTGGCTTCGGGGACTTAAGATGCATGTCGGGACCCTTCGTGCGCACAAATCCCTTAATGCGCACGATGCTTCGGATGTTGGGAAACAATCCTATAGAACATATTCCGCAAGTGGAAACAGACCCTGGTCAAGACCTTGTTCACCGGCTTGGCTCACCCCCTAACCGCCTCCCTTGATATTCTTGATTCGAGAGGGAGCAATCCCAACACAGCCAAACAACCCTAGCGGCCCTAGCACTCATATCCACTCATTTCAGCCAATTCAGCCGGCGCAGCTGCTCTGGGGTGGAAGCAGCAAGGTTGGCCAAGACCGCACAGCCCTGCTGTACGTTCGGGCGCTTCGGGTGCAGGTGCTTATGAAGTTGCGACTTATCACTTGCTGGTTTCTTCGACTCGCACAGCTGGGCAGGCAATGCTCTTGGTTCCAGTCGCAGTGACATGCTGCTGGCTTTGCACTGCGTCACAAGCAGGCTCCTGAAAACAGTATACACCGATCACGGCACAGCATGCTTGCTGGAATAGGCTGTCGGCACAGTAAAGGATTCAAGCTATTGCGGTGCGTTGGTGGGCGCGTTCTCAAGTAAAAAGTTCGAAAACAAAAATGTTGAACGAACTTTGATGGTTTTGGTAATCGCCTGTCTGTGGCTGAGCTTTTGCTTGCGAACTTTCCAATATTGTCAAGTGCCCTTCCAGATCTGAAGATCCAATGAAGGATGCCAACGCATTAGCATTTCCCATGTCCAAGACACAATTGAAAAGCAAACGGCCAGTATCTTGGTGGCAATGTTCGCTACATTCGCTTCGTGTGCATGTTACTCTTTTTGAGAACGGCATTGAGCCCCAGCTTTATATTGATTTTCAATTGGCAGGGGTGCAAAAAACAACGATAAACGACTCTACAAACGATTTAAATCCTCCGCCAAGTCTATGGCATCTCAGGTCTCTGTCGCATTTCCCTCGCTTGTTTGTTCATACATGTGATTACTTCTTGTGTCTCGTGTGCATTGTGTATGTGTGTGTGTGTCTCGCTCTCACTCTGCAAAGCATAGCCCCGAGAGGGGGCCGCGCCAAGGCGTGCACTTGATCACAGATGTCACGAATGGAGGCCACATTAGTCACATTAGTCACACTTGGCTCCCGCAAGACAGGGAACGTCCAAGATGTCGAGTGGCAGGTTTCAGGTGTATAGGCACGACGAGGGTAAATTCCACTCAGTCTGTACCGGACAACCACTCCATAGCGTGACACAGAGCAGGCCAGCCACCGCAAGAGTGTTCTTCTTTTCTCCCTCTGCTTCTTCTTCTTCTTCTTCTTCTTCTTCTTCTTCGGGGTATGGTGGCTATGGAGTGCGGAGACATCTCCAACCCTCTGCTGCGCTGGGCGCACCCTCGGTTCTCGGCTCGCGTGGGACGTCGAAGTCAACATGGGAAAGAACTCTTGCTTTCTCGTTGCGAATTTCATGTTGCATCTTTATCGCTATTGCTGTCTGTCTATCTTTCTGCATTTCACTGGTATTTCTTCTTGTGGTTCTTTCCATCTAGCTTTTAATTCGTTCTTTCGCTTTGTTTTCATGTCGTGGTTCGTTCCTTCCTTCCGTCCTTCGATCATTTGTTGTTGTGCGATTCTTCATGATTAATCCGAGCATCTGTTTAATTAATACCCCCACATTTAAAGAAATTTTTTTTGGCCGGAAGCCCGCCGGAAGACTACTTTCCATTAGGGTGGATTTCGTATGGGACTAACCCCCCACATTTAAAGGATTTTTTTTTTGGGGGGGGGGGGGGGGTTGCAAAATTTTGAAACTCAGCCTTTCGGAAAGCTTTTTTCCAGTACATTCCTATTGTTTTTATAGAGTCAATACTTTGTTATTCAGTTTTAATAGTCATTCTATACATTCCTATTGTTTTCAATACATTCTTGTTGTTTTTAATAGAGAATCAATACAGGGCCATGGTCCCACTATTGCGGAACCCTGCATTCCTTATTGTGGGGGGGGGGGGGGGGGGCCCCCCCCCCCCCCAATTAAACAGATGCTCGGATTAATTTCATTGCTTCCTTCCACTTGGCTCTTTCTTCATTTCTGTTTTGGCTGCGTTCTTTCTGCTCCGTAAACGGGTCAGGAGTGGGTTCCCCCCTCACAGTCGCGTCCCCTGTTGCTCAGGCATCCAGTGTCGCAATACCCTCACTCTCTCGTCCTTGCTTTGTGGGTACCTTTTTTGATCCTTTAACGGTATTCGTGATTCTGTTGCCGAATAAAAATGTGGATGACGCAGATCTGAAAGAGCGAAGCACATGCAGTCATGGATGCTGTTTAGAGTCCGACACGCCGCATGGCGGACAGAAGCGAGCAGGCGTGAGCCGAAGCGAGACTCGCCACTTCCCCCAGGCGAGGAGTGCCACGTCTTTCCCAAACGTTCCTTCCCTTTAGCATACTCTTGGGGTTAGTCCACAACATTGTGATGCCAGAACGCAGCATCCTGCGGCATCCCTGCAAGTGAGTCGGAGCCAGCCTTGTATTGGACCAGCGGAACGCCTCTGTGCTGATGCATGGCTTTGACCACCTTAGCTCTTCCATTGAAACCCCCATTGTACAGGCTTCTACATTACTTGCGTGATCCACTTGGAGATCCAATTGAAAGAATATCAGACTGAATTGTAGCGCAAATTACTCAACCACCAAAGATTTACTGATAATGGAATCTCGATGCAACTCTCAACGTTTTCTCTCCATGCTACCTTTACTCAGCCCTATTGGTTCTATCTTGAATAATCCATATAATGCTTAACATATCTTTTGGGTTTTCATGGAAAATCATATATGGGTTGGGGTCTGGGAAGGGTCATGTTTGGTCTTGAGGCGTCCGAAGTCGGGATTGGTCTTTAAAAATATGGTCTCGGCTTGCGTTTTGCGAAGCAAACCTAGTAGAAAAAACACATCTGGGTTGGGGCCTGGGGAGGGTCATGTTTGGTCTTGAGGCATCGTGAGTCGGGATTGGTCGTAAGAAACATGGCCTCGGCTGGCGCTGAGGAAGTCAGTGTCATATACAAGAAATTGTGGGTCGCGCTATTGTGCAACCAGGTGTAGCCTAGCTCCTTCTAGAGCGACAAAAACTTCTGGACACGTCCATGAAGCGTCGGTCACGGGTAGAAGTTTTCATCGGAGTTGAAAAAAATCATGGAAGAACGCAGTGCCCCTGAAGCAAGATCCATGCGCCGTAGGATTGAA